CAGGACCAGTTAACAGTCACAGTCGCAGAGCGTGTAGAAAACCCTGTAAAGCAGTAATAGTGCAAAATGGTAGCAGAGGAGTTGCATTTTTTTGCTCGGTGTTTGGGTCTCTGCAGAGGCGTCCAGCATCTTGAGCACCTCAGATCTCACTCCAAGATATACACACAGTAAATAAAAGGGAAATAAAAAAATACCCCAAACTTTTTTACATTCTCGCGGGGAGGAAAAATACATCAAACGTAGGATTCTTGCAGGCAAAAGTCGTTGTGCACATTTTTAAAAGGGGAGAAAACTAAATTCGTTTTAAAGTTTCTGTCGTTGAAAGTGCAGTTCCTATAGGGGAGGGAGGAGGGAAAGGGAGAAACGTCCCTGAGACAAACGCCTATTGCTAAGGATATGCGAGGACACGGCTGCTCCTTAGGAGTCCAGCGGTTTACAGAGGGTCTATAAATTAAGAGAAAGAAATGCAAGCGGGAGAACTGATGTCACACGTGTGGAGGCAGCCGGAGCCCAAGGGGCTGCTCGGAGAGAAGCGTGGCCTTGCTTCCACGCGTGTGTGCGGACGGGGCTGTGCGTGGGAGGTGCGTGTCCGTGCTTGGGTGTCTGTTGGGGTCTGCAGGGTGCAGCCGCCCCTCGAAGGCAGCCCCGGGCTGATCCCCGTGCCCCTGCGGGGACACGTTTCAGGAAGACACCGAGCTGGGAGAGGCCTCAGGTGAGGTGCAGTTGGACTGATCCGAGGCTTCATTCGCTTCCTTCGCAGCCCTGGAGGCAGCAGCCGGGGCGAGACCTTCCTTTTCCCTCTTCTTCTGCTTCATCCGCCTATTTTGGAACCAGATCTTGACCTGGGTTTCGTTGAGCTCCAGGGTAGCAGCGATTTCCACTCTCCGGGCCCTGGTGAGGTACTTGTTAAAGTGAAACTCTTTCTCCAGCTCCGTCAGCTGCTTGGTGGTGAAGTTGGTGCGGATGGTGTTGGGCTGGCCCAGCAGTCCGTACTCCGACACTTTAGCTGTAAACGAACAAACACCAGCAGGGCAGGAGCAGCCAGAGCAATTCCCTCGCTGGGACGGGGAGAAGCGGGGGTTCCCCCTCCCCGCCCCCGTCCTCTCCTGAGCATTTGGTCCCTCCACCGCCCGGAGCTTCGTGCTCCCTCCCGGATCCTCAGCTACCCCTGGCTTCCCAGCCCAGGGACACAACCTGGAGGGACAGATCCCCCCGGGCTCTGCGAAGCTGCCCCCTTTCCCTTGCACCCATTCCCCCCAGTTCCCTGCAAACTGCCATGAGACTTGAACGTGCGTGGGAAGGAGTGGAAGGGGAGGGCGAAGGTGATGAGGGGGGGAGGAGGAGGGAAGATTGTGGTTTAAGGAAGATTGTGGAGAAGGAAGTTGAACAATAGGGGAGATGGAAGCCACGACTGTGGAAGAAGCAGGAAGCCCGGAGCGCTTCCTATTCCGAGCTGGGCTTAAATCGTAATGGGCCTGTGGGAAACTGAGCTCAAGGACCCTCCATCAGATGTGTCTGGAAAAAACTCTATCTGGCTTTTCCTTCAGCGCTGAGCTGGTGGTTTTGGTTTTGTTTTGTTTTGTTTTCAAAAAAAAAAAAAAAAAAAAAAATCACAAAAGAAAAACCTCAAGGCAAAACAAATCCCTGTTCCCCTGGAAGATGAGCCCAGTTACCCCGGGTACAAACCCCGGGGAAGGTCATTCTTCCTTGCAGGGCTGGGGAGCTGCCTCCCACCTCCCTCCTCCGCCCCGGCTGGGGCCCATCCTCGCCCAGCTCTGCGCTCCCCAAACTCACCTGTCTTGGGCGGGTTCCTCTTCACTTTCATCCAGTCGAAGGTCTGCGTGGTGCCGGCGTTGGGGCACGGCTCGACGGGGCACGCAGGGTCTTTGTCCTCGTTTAAAGAAGGCGAAAGGTTGCTGTAAACGCCGGGCAAGTAGCTGGGCTGCTCCTGCCCGTAAAGGTGGTGGGGCTGGTACTGCCCGGCGGCCGCCACCGCCCCGCAGTAGCTCTCTGCCAAGGAGCCGAGGTTGGATCCCGCGTTGGGGGAGTACCCGGCCGCTTGGAAGTACACCCCATCCGCGTCCTGCTGGCCGAGGTAGAGCTGGTGGTGCCCGTAGCTGGGGGCGCAGGTTTGGGCTGGGTACCCGGCGGCCGGGGCAGCGCCCGAGAAGGGGCTGG